CTTTCTAGCAGACCTCCTCACAAGCGTCACTTCAGCTTCTCTCCTACATTTCCCCCAAATAGTGTTTACATTCCACCATTCCAAATCTCTTAATTACATTCAATTAGTGTGATAGAAATTAAGAATGCCTCAACCTAGAGTCTGTGGGGAGCCACTTGTCCTGAATGTCTTCACCGCTGATGGTATATGGTATATGATGGCAACTGACTTCTCACACTCCGATGGGTGTCTTACTCTACACATGTTCGCATGGAGGTGTTGTACGTTTGACTGTGTTTGGTAGGTACAAAATAGTCATATAGGCAAGCGGGGAGCAAAGTACTGAAGACTGTCATCCTACCAAAGCATTTTCAAAGGAACTGACATTTTAACATTTGTTCCCATTGATACATTTTTTTAGTTTAACTCCAACATGTGGGCAAGGGAAAAGAGAATTCCAGCACATCCATGTGCTAGTTGCTTTGCTCACAATGAGAGAAACATATGGAGCCTCTCCACTATACTGGGGACCCTGAAAAGCCAGGGTTGCTGACCGTGTGGAAAGTCTCCAAGTGTAGCAGAGAGTTTCATCTTCAGACTCTCCCTTTCCATATGAATCCCCTTTTAAATGCAGAAAAAATGACTAGTGACTAGGTACTGCTAGATCATTCTCCATGTCCACATGTTCAGATCAACCCTGTTCTGAATATCTGAACATGCCTATATACATGCACATAGAGCCAAACATCAAAAAGTGGGAGTGTAACATTAAGGGGATCTACACTTGTGGAAACCATCCAATTTCCCCCAAACAATCAGATTTTGTGTTTCTCAAAAGGAAAGGAAATTGGATGGTGACAGCAGGACGGGGGTCCATAGAAATGAGCAAACAGAAAATATCAATTTTAATGTCTAAGATAAATGCATTCTAAATGTCTTGACATTGCCTCTGTGATCTATTACATAGAGAATAAATATAATATAAGAATTCCTAGTTCACAGGGATGCTTAGAAATATCATTTCTGTCTCTATGTGCTTTCTGCATACAGTGGACCCTTGACTTACAGACGGCTTGACTTACAGACTTTTTGAGTTACAGACTTCTCTGGCCGCAAAATTTAGGTTTGATTTGCAGCCTGAGAATTGACTTACAGACTAGAAAAAAACCAAAATGGAACAAAAACGGCCTGTTACGGGATTAATCGGTTTTCAATGCACTGTAGGTCAATGGAGACTTGACCTACAGACTTTTTGACTTGAGAACCGCCTTCCAATACGGATTAAGTTCTCAAGTCAAGACCCCACTGTACCTAGAACCACAGTTCTTTTCCAAATGCAGTACCAACAGCATGCAGTAGCATTGGGATGCACAGAAAAAATTAGCCTAGCCTCTGGATAATATCCTACCATTACAAGATTTTCCTTCCAGGTATAAAATTCCATGAAAGCTCTGTAACTAATCTATCAGACTTCCAAATGAGATCTATGTTTACCTCCCAAAAACCAATCACCAAAGACAAACTAATTTACAACATGTGGATGAGGCAAGCTTAAGCTAGGATAAACAGATGTCTTTACCTCCCAAAGGAGATCTGCTGTTAATGACATGCTGGCTATAACTTAACCTGAGCCTTAGTCCCTGCCCAGACTGTGTAGCACTTAGTCTAACCATCAAGAGACAAGGGTAGATAGCTTAGGGGTTGATATATGTAGGAAAGAATCACTGAGTAGTGGAGACATGGCTAAGGAGAACCTTTGCTGAGCAGGTAGGTCTTGTAGAAGGCTTGTCTGGAAAAAGACACCAAGATGAGCAAGAAAGTACATGTATGAGGGGTAAGAGCATGAGTGAGAAATCTCTACTTTTAATCTCACCTCACCTATAAAGGAACATTTATTCTCTCATTTACAGTGCCTCCATATCTAAATTAAATTATAATCATCATGGCTTCCTATATATGAGTGGCTCAGAAAAGGTATATAAAGTACTCCAAATCTAGTTATATGTTGAAGAGAAGGCTATCTGATTCTTGCTTTCCTCAGAATGAGTACCATCTTCTAGTGGCTAGTCTGTATTTGTTTATATATTTTGTTATGTACTATATATATCTCACAGGACACGGAAAATGGCTTTGATTTTTAACCTGCCCTCCCAATGCAATTAAATTCCAAAAAGTGCAATAAATATTCATTTTACATTTCAGCCTCATGCATCAAAACAAATAGTCCCTTCATTTTTGATTCCTGGAAGGACTTCCTGTTTTGCGGCTCCACAGCTCTGTATAGGTCTATGTGCATCACTGTTTCTAGGTTGTTTTTTCTTTTCCTCTATCTTATGGTTTGATGAGAAGCTGGGTCTTTTGTATAGTAAGCCTTCTGAGTAAAGCTAAGGGTACAATGGGAAAAATACCATATTAACTTGCAACTCCTGCAAAGACATACAATACATGATGGAGACAAAAAGACTCTCAATATCAATCTCTTTTTAAATGCAGAATTTAACTATGCATCTATCTTTACTATAGCAACCAGGGCACCAGGGCAGTCTGAACATGTGGCTTGTTATTTGTTCAAGGATAATAATCAACTAAGCCAAGAGAATGGGGAAGCGGATTTTCCTGTTTCAACAGCTCACTAGAATCTTCTTGGTTTTCAATGTCATCTGTATATGTGTGAGTCTATTCTAAAATGCATTAGGACACTAAATAAACTGAGTGCTACAAATATAGTTATATAGCAGCTTGTTAAAATCAGTATTTCTCTCCTATCTTTATTTTAGCCATGGATGGACAAGGATGTTCACTGGTTCAAGCCTTTTGCATCTCCTTTTGATACAAAGGCATTAGTCAATATGTCTGGATAATTAATTGAACTAATTACATGTATATTAATCTTGTTGAAATAGTTTCAGTCCTTGATATCTTGCTGTGTATGTTGTTAGCATAGTAGGTTGCAGTTGGAATAGGCCCATTTAAATCAATAAAATATATGAAGGCGTTGATGCCCCTAATCCCCATTGCTTGATCTAGTGCAATTTACTATACTAAGCAACAGGATTTTGGCCTGTGTCATGAAATAAGACTTCAGATGTTGCTCTGTGCTAGGTATACTTCTGTTCTTCAAAACATCTCTTTTTTTAAAAAAAAATCTACTCTTCTGTTAGTTCCTAACATTCCACCATATTCATCTATGACTCAGTACATTGTACTGGCCACAATCTGGTAGCAAATATGAGGGTGTAAATCTTAACCTCAACCTAATCACGGTGCCCACAGTAATATAGGGCTCTGGTGTGGTAGCCATTATAAGGCCCATTCCAAAAAAACCTAATTTAGCAATGGATTATCTTAACAACTCTAGGTCCATTGCCAACATTCCATTCCAGAGCAAGTTGAGTGAGAGAGTGGTAGCTGACCAGCTGCAGGTATTCTTGAGTGAAATGGATGGTCTAGATCCATTTCAATCAAGGTTCAGGCTACACCATGGGACTGAAATGGTATTGACCTCCCTGCAGCATGATCTCCTGGAAGAGGCAGACAGGGAAAGTGTAACACTGCTGGTCCTCCTGGATCTCTCTGAAGACTTTGATAACGTCAACCACGGTATCCTTCTGGGACAGCTATCAAGTTTGGGAATTGGGCACTCCATTTTATCTGTGGTTCCAGTCCATCCTTAAGGATGGTATAGCTTGGGGAGGCATCATCCAGCCTTGAGGACCTCCATAATGGGGTCCCACAGGGATCAGATACTTCATCTATGCTTTTTAATATCTATATTAAGTTGCTGGAGAAGTCATACAGAAAATTGTTCATAGTCATCTGTACATGGATGACACAGATCTACATCCTCTTCATCTGCAGATGATCTCGTGTGAGCCCTTGAGTGCTGCCTGGTGCCAATAATGTACTGGAAGAGGGCCAGTCAAAATCCAGATAAAACTGAGATCCTGCTGTCAGGAGGATCATTGGACCAGTTAGAGGGATATTTATCTGATCTCAATTCCCCTTGAAGGACTGGGTTCACAGCTTGGGGCTAATCTTGGACCCAGTTCTATGGAGGTGCAAATATCTGCTGTTGCCAAGATTGACTTTTATCAACTTCAGTTGATTGCCCAGCTGTACCCCTACCTAGAGAAGAAATGCCCAACAGTGATTCAAGTGTTGGTAATATCTAAAATAGACTACTGCAACACTTTCTACAATGTATACATTTTGTCAATAAGATCATGTCATATGGGTATCTTAAATTATTGCATCAGTTTTCACTCCTCCTCCATCTGAATCAAATCTCACTGATAAATTTTGTGTATAGATTGAACAGATTAGGGGATAAAATGCATTTTTGCCTATAGGAAACATTCTGTCTCTCTCCATATTCTGTCCTAACAGTAACTTATTGTCCACAATACAAATTATGCATCAGGACAATTAAGTGGTAAGGCACATCCTTTTCTTTCAGAACAACCCATGGTTTCTCATAATCTAAACAGTCAAAGGCTTGGCTGTAGTCATATCACACTTTAAAGTGACACTTTGCCCAATCCAACCCTGGACAATTTGGCCATATAGCCTTACCCTTTCTTATTATTCAGCAGTTGATTCTGGTGGTTCACCTTCATAGGGACTAACAACTGATTTCTATTTAGCCATTTTAGAACCATATTATAAAATAAAATAAGTAATCTAATAAAGAAGATAGGAGGGCCTGGCATGCTCTGGTCCATGGGGTCACGAAGAGTTGGACACAACTAAATGACTAATTAATGACGAATCTAATAAAGGTATCATGTATTTATGTTCTAGCTGCTTCATATGTCCCTGTAGTTTTTAAGTTATCGTAAATATCTTTTTCCACATTTAAGTTCCATTAATGTTTACAGGAATTACTGAGCAATAGTGACAGATAAACTTTAACTTCACCATGTGTAAGTTATGTTAACATCACTCAAACAATGATAAAAGAACAAATGGGATTGTCACTCAATGGCATTTGAAATGAGCTCTTTACTGAGGAGATGAGAAAATATAAGATTGGCTTGAAACAATTAAAAAAACCAACAACCTTGTAAACATTTCCATAGAGGTAGAATACATGTTTTTGACAATCAGGTAGACAGAAATGCAAGTAAACGACTCTGCAGTTTGAATAAATAAAGATAATCACATCTATTAAATAATTCTTTGTTTTTATAAAACAAAACAGGTATGTAGGAGAGGCAGAATGGCTTTCAGCAAGTAGACATCGGAAAAATGATTCCTCTGCAACCCATAAGAATCCGGCATTATTTTTTCTTGCTCTGAAGTGCAGCCATACTAGTTGTACTGCCAGTTGGGATGGCAGACAATAGAGGGTTTCAGTAGCTCAAAAAAGAAGAGAAAAAGACAACTCCAAACAATGCAGCCTGACATTGATTTAATCTAAGTTCATCCTATTTGATTCAGTGGGAATTTGTCCCAGGTAACTGTGCAAATACTCTTCCATTTTATCAAAATGAAAAAAAGTTGTGTGGTTCTTGTGCAAAATTCAAAAAAAAAAGTTGGGTGATATCAAATTGAGCATTACACAGCGTTGGGGGGGAGGGACAGAAGAGTGCCTCCAAATAATCTTGGGTGCACACTGAAGCCAGGCTTGCTTGATTAATGTTAGTCTGCAGCCCTTTAGAATCAGCTCGAGGTAGCATGTCTTACTTTGGGGCATTCTGGTTTCCTTGACTTGCAGACAGAGGGTTGCTTGCTATGCAGCCTCTTCATAATATCAAAGCATGTAGCTTCTGTTTGACTGGGAACTAAGGTGGAAAGAAACATGACAAGTCCCATATTATAGAAGTTTGATGTTACATTTATTTTACCCACCAGGAAAAGACACAGTCAAGTTCAACAAAACTGAGACTATTTATTGCACAGTGGCTGGAGTAAGATATTTCCTGTTTGATGCAGCCCTGCACTCTGGTTGTAGATACGGCCATAGGTAGCCATTTAGGATATTTTCCATGGTTCAGCCAAGAAAAGAAAAGAAAACAATCCATGTAGTCCTTGTGGAAATCTCAAGCTGATTCATTTTGGAACTAACTTTAAACAGACAGCCTGGTCTCAAAATTTAGCCATGTTTATTTTGGAAATGTTCTGTTTCATCCCATGGGCCAAACTCTGAAATGTCCAGTCCAATGAAGAGTTTTGCAGGACACAAGAGCTAGACTGTATGTGAAATTTTAATGGTCCAATAAAGGTGTGGTGTGTTTCCCCCTGCCCCTGATTTTCCAGTCCACGTTGCTAGAGGAGATTGTGTGTTAGCCACCAAGTACTGCACAGGAGAATGGAAAGTACGTTAGAAGAAAATGTACTGTAGTTACTTCTGTAACTCAGGTGCCACCCACACCAGCAGTTCCCATGAAGACAGTGTTGATCGGTGGTAAAGATGACAACATCTCACTATTGTCTTGTCCAGAAGAGTCCACTGTTTCCTGAGAAGGACACTGTCTAGGGTGCCCATACATGCATTGGGAGGAGGGGGCAGATATAACGGCCTGCATATCTGAACCTACAAAGAAAACATCATCAATTATACAACCATTTCTTAGTTTCTAGATGAAGAACAGAAAGAGAGAAGAGGTTTACATGGCACTGTACATATCATCCTTTGATCTGGAAGTCAATAGTACTACATCCTTGGATGAAAAGCTTGGACTAGCTACTTTTTTAAATTATAGCTCCCAGAATTCTCCAGCCAAGCATGGTCTCTGAGGTTCTGCGAGATGCAGTCTCCCAAAACAGTATTGTCAAGCTTTGTTCATATGCAAGGACTTGCTGTAATTCAGGGGTTGGCAAAATGTTTCCCACGAGCCACTAGCAGACCTTTGTCATACCCTGGAAAATATTTTTCTCCCCACATGGTACATTGTGCTTCCTAAAACCCCAGGGCATGGTGGTGATGGTAGTACAAATTGCTATTTTTATATTTTGTCCCTCAAACCTGTTTCAGGGCAAAAAAGGGGGCCTTTTTTGAAATGCAAACATCTGCTCTCAAGTGGCTGCCCACCGCGTATTTTGAAACTAGGATTTTCAAGCCTAAAAAAAAAAGTCCTGGTAGACCCAAAACTATATTTAAAAAAGGGAGGTGGGTGTAGGGTTTGCTATTTTGAGGGCAAAATATTTTAAGAGTGTTAGTTACAGTACATGGTCCACCAAGATTTGAGAGATGGCAAGAATGGATCCCCAAACATTTATACATCTCTTCTCTAATATTTGAATGGAGAGAAAAATGTATTCTTCACCAGTTCAATGGGGGCAGAAATCAACCAACCACCACTGGCTTCAAAGATAACTGGGAAATCTGACAAGAGCACTACATCAGAAAAATAAAAGATGGCACCCAGGATCCTACTGGTGTATACATAAGATCTCCAAAACTTGGGTAGTTAATAAACAAGGTGATAGGGTACATCTCTGTTGCCTAGCTGGGCACATAACCAGGCATACAATCAAGACATGCCAAGACACCTCTTCCATTATCCACAATTAGCTGCAATAAGCAAACAAATAGGATTCTGGCCAACAGTTTTAAAAAAAGAGAGACGAAAAAAGAAGTTGCATTCATAGTACCATGGCCAGATGTACATCTAGAGCTCTCCAAGATCTGAGTCCAGCTTTTAATCTTCAAACATTACAATTTCTGTATACAAATGTGGCTTAAATGCTTCCAGTAAATACATTATGATATGTGCGTATTTATTACAGGAGTCTCAAACATGAGTCTCCAGTTGTTGCTGGACTTCAGCTACCAAAAGACTCAGTCAGCAAAGTCAAGGGTGAGAGATTCTGGGAGTCCAAGACTGGGAGCCACTGGTCTGATGCTTAAATTATTTTTGCCCTTGCTGGCCCAGGCCTCTCACAGCATCTAACTGGTGTTAGTTTTAGAGTGCTATTCATTTTTAATTGCAATAGTAAACGTTTTAAATAGTGTGAAGTATTTATGTCTATGGAATGAGGCACACTATTTTTCATGGGCTAATCATTTTCTAAACATTGTTTCTTAACATGTAGCTCTGTGAAACAGACAATGCACATCCCTGTTCAACATATGAACAATTAATGCTTTGTAGAATGATTTGATCTGGACTTAAACCATTCTCACAGATTTTCTTAGCATGACACCCTGGCTGTTCAGTTTAAGCTAATTAGTACAAATAACCACAGGGATTAAATGCAGTTTTCCACATAACATATAAGGTGGAGGGAGGGAGGGGCATGTTAATAACCTGATCAGGTTTGATTTACTGTGATTAACTTCTGAAGAGAAGCTTGTCAACATTCTAGGCAAAAAAAATCCTAATTACAAAATGTATGGAGTGGACTATAGTCAGCCACTGGTAAAAGAAATTTAAACTCTAGCTGACCTCAGTCCTGAACAGAATTGGGAAACGTTATTTCTTCTGATTACAACTTCCAGTATCCCCCCAACTACCATGGCCGCTGTGCTTCTAAGTATCCTGATGATGTCAGAAACATGGCCACAACTGCTGACAGTTTCTGGCCTATGGAGAATTGGTGCCACAGGTCTCCTTATTACTTACTTATTGGGTTCGGGCATGGTATTGAAGCATCTGGGAAGTACGATGCTCCTTGTTTCCTTCCAGTGTCCTCTAAGATGCTGAGTGGATCGTGAACATCACTGTATGGAGGCAGAGGTCGAATGCTGCTTATGCTGCTGATGACAGAAACATGCTGATCTACCATCGACCCAAGTCTGTGTGACTCTGTATAATTTATAGTATTCCCATAAAACCCTGTTGGCAGGAATTTAACAGTAAGTAAATAAAGTATTTATAACTCTATAAAATGTAGCTACGTAAGTGTTGTGCTCAGAGGACCTGGAGTTCTCAAATTATGGAGTAAAACACACAAATTCTTCAACCAGGAGACTATAGTTCCACATCTGCAAAGTTCTGCAGCTATAGAGAGTTGATGCTAGTATTTTGAAGAAGGTATACAGAATGGCCCTTCTGAGGGTGCTACTACACTGGAAAGCTGAACTGAATGATTTGGCATTGCTGCAATTTGATTTGCATCTTTTATTACATTTGAAATTGCAATCAATGATAGGGAGTGCAGATTGATTCAGGGGTTCACCTTTTACACTGAATGCAATGTGATTTGCCTTTCAGCCCACAGCTCTCCCTTCTTTGCTTCCTTCCTTTGATCTCACTGCTGCTGATCATTTTATGGTTTGCTGTGAAGCCAGTTTCTCATTTAAAGCTTAACATTACTACATTTCTCAAAACCATTCTATAGAAAAAGCATGGAAAGAACATCAAATGTACAAAGAGCAATTTTGTAAACTACATCATAATTCACATGTCAGAATGATTCCGTAATAAGGAACCACTATTTTCCCTTTCCCATCCATTTCCCTTTCCCCTTACCTTCATGTAACACATGCAGGTAACTCATCTCTGGCCATATATCGTTTTAAACTATGGCATGATAAACTTTTGAAGTCCAATTTCAGACCTGTCAATTAACTAATTAACAGCAATAAACTTCTACTTCATAAAAGAGGCCTTTCCCCATAATCTGAAGCTTAGTGTGTTTGATAGGATTTAGGACTAGCACGTGACCCCCACATTAAAATCATGGTGTTTTGCTTTTGCATGTCCCCCCCACCAGACCTGAACATCAAGCCCCAACTGCCTACATCACTGAAACGTCACTTACATAACATACTGTATAATCCATATAAGATCTATATAAGAATGCATCACAACTAACAGCACAGGAAAAAGCCCATTCAATTTTTTGCAGCTTGAAAAAGTAGACACCTCTCAATGGCAAGAGGAAAAAAAGACTACTTTGGGAGCAAAAAAGGGTGGGTGGTATGCAAAACATAATAAAGTTGCCCTCCACTCCTCTCTAGGAGGAAACCAGGGGAATTTCTGAGCAGCAGCTTTTTTCTCAGAAAATAAAATTTGGAATGCTAGGGGCCTTGGAAGTGCTGTGGGTAAAAAAAAAATCCATGAGGGGCTTCTTGTAACCTCCAAGCTGGACATTGTCCACTCCACTCTACAATATCAAAGAGGAACACTGCAATGGTGGGGTGGGGTGGGTCAGAGAAAGAGAGAGAGAGAGAGAGAGGAGAGAGAGAGAGAGAGAGAAGCCAGCAAGTTGGGTGTGAGTGATGCTGACCAAGCTGAAGGTAGCACCACCCTCATGCCTTCCTCCCTGCCACTTGACACTTTGTGAGGCATGGATTGCGAAATCAAGTGCAGCAACAAAGTAAGCCATGGACCATAGCTGGCCGTTGTTGGTCTACTGTAAATAAAAACTGTCTGAGGTCCACTTCAACCTATATTGTAGAGCTAACTGGCTTCTCCAGTTGTACTGCATTATCATGGCTCCCTTCCACAGATCTTTCAGCTACAGTTCATTCTATTCACATCATTAAAGATCATTATCAGACAAAAGTGGGAGAGGAGGAATAAATTGCTATATGGTAATAACTCTATCTACAACACTTACAAAACAACCACTTGTTCTGTGCTGTGGATAGAATTCGGGCTCTAGAAATGAAAGACACAAACTTTTCATTCAGAAGATATATGGCTTCCAAGTAGTACAGTGGTGCCTTGCTTAACAAGTGCCTCATTTAATGATGAATCCGCATAGCGATGAGGTTTTTGTGATTGCAAAAGCGATCGCATTGCGATGTTTTAGATGGCCAGAAATCGTTTTTCGATGATCGGTAAGCATTTTGCTTACTGATTTTCGCATAGCAATGTTTTAAAAACAGCTGATTGGCGGTTCCAAAATGGCCACTGGGAAAAAAATGGCTGCACGCAGTGTTTTCGCACCCTTTCCTCGCTTACCGGGCAGAAAAAATGGCGGCCAGATTGAGGATTTCCGCATAGCAGTGAGTTTTTTCCCCATAGGAATGCATTAAACGTGTTTTAATGTGTTCCTATGGGTTTTTTCCCCCGCACAGCTATGAATCCGGATAGCGACGATTTTTTCGGCACGGATTATCGTTGCTATGCGGGGCACCACTCTATACTGCTCACTGGGTAGTGCTGTACAAGTCGTTCTCTCAGCTCAACTTGCTTTACCCATCCTGTTTCAAATGGCTGTTGTCAGCCCTAAGAGAATGAAATGTTGCAAACTTCTTGGTTAATGTTGCACAATAAATTTGGAGGGAAAAATTCCAAACAGTAATGACAACAAAATTTGGTGTCAGATATGCATCCCTCAGTGGACTGAATTTTCAAATAAAGCTAATAGGTACAGCCAAAACACTTACACATTATCTCCAGTTTAAAAAAACACACATCTGGGTCAGTTAAGAACTGTAACCCGTGCTACGTCCATTGAATACAAATGTGCTGCCCCTAAGATGACAGCTTGTGATGATGTATCTTCCCTCCCACAAAGCCATCATGTTTTCCCCCCTCTCTGCAACACACCTGCAAGCCTCCTAAGAACACGCCTCGGGGGGGGGGGGACCAGCCTAGGGACTAGCAGTACTACCCCATACCATACCTCTGAGAGGACAGAGCATTGCTACATACTGGATTACCCATTTCAATGTGCACAGAAAATCCTTCCTTTCTAGTTGATCCCTGTAATTTCTATCTGGCCAGAATTTCCCCAGGCTTACATAGTGCAAACTGGAAGGAGAACTGTGGTGCACAACTATGCCAGGTGTTTGTTATATGCTCAGACATGCTCTGGTCAAATGTGAAAAAAAAATCTGTGAAAACCACTTGTACCATCTCTCTCATCTGTGCAGCATTTTGCTATACAATTTTTGCCTCTTTTTTTTTTTAAAAAAAGATGAAATAGGATAAAATTCAGCCCTTAAAACCACCTAGCAGAATTCAATGAAAGTTCACATGGTAAAGTGGATTACATTTTGTGTTGATCCACACACTGAAGTTTAGGTAAAGACCATCTGAGTCTACCATGAGATATGTATTCAAAGAATTACTTGCTGATACCTAAATCCTAATAATGATGAAAATTAGGCCCTACTTTTAAACAATATGTTAGTAATTGTTCCCACTGTTCACCAGCTGCATTGTTTTCGTTCTATGATTCAATCTGCTGAAAAATTCAATCTATCTGGCTTCAGTTAGACAGATAAAAGAGTGAAAGCAAATTTGCTATTTGAAAATATTTCTGCACCACTTTCATACAAAGTCTTGAATATGTAAGTAAATTGTAAATATAGGAGCAGCAGGCTGGTTGGGCTGCTAGAAGATACCAGTATCTGCCAATTTGAGTGATGCAGTGTGAAGGGAGACCTGATATCCAACTCCCATTTCACAGGGCAATGAATCCACTCCGAGTTTTCATCTGATTCTACAGGAACTGAACATGACACTGAACTCTAGCTCCAAAACAAGTCCAGCACCATGGACAGTTCCTGTAATGTTTAGGCTGTTTAAAAAACCCCAAGGGGAATTCACTACCCACAACACAATCAGAATCAATGGCCTCAATGGGGCAGGAATGAGAAGGCAAAAAGCAGAGATGTAGCACCCTGTAGATATGTGTCTGGAACAACTACAGCTGAGCATCAAGGGAAATAAAATTGATCTCTAGAAAGTTTCAATACCATTGGAAGCAGTTGAGGAATATGGAGATGCTTGGCAAGAATTTGCTGCAGAATTGTTCATGAAGTTGTAGCCTCCGCTGTTCAAAAACTGCATGCCGTGTGTCTCTGGCACAGTCGAAGAGGGTCCATAGTTTGTCCTAGCACTGTATGGAGACACAGCACAGCTGCTACTGAAGTAGTTTCTGGGGAAGCGCTGCTGCTCATCTGTGCTCATAAAGTGGCTGGGTTCTGTCCGGTATTGATAGACGCCAGAAGACGGCTGACTCTGCGTCCTGAAGACAGCTGGGTAATTGGCACTGATTCCATAGAAGTTTTGATTAGTTTGTGGCAGAGCCTGGTAAAGGGGCTCTGAATATGAAGAACAGTGGGAGTGCACAGACAACGGTGGATCTGCACTCGGGGGCCTCCCGGCCATCGGTCCCTGGTTGATTACGCTTCCTCGGCTGATCATGGCTGGAGAAATGGGTGGAGTCATGAGATGGGCAGCACTCTGAGGAAGCTCCATTTGAGCTAGGAAAACAAAGAGCAGCGGGAGGGAAAACGTTAGGTTGAACTCATATACTGACTTTCCCCCCCCTCCAAAACCAACTAAACAGGAAATAGTCTTGAATCCTGATGTGTTGTTTTCACCTATGATCTTTTCAATGTCACTATATACATACTGTGATTCCCAACCTTGAGTAACCCAGGTTCTTGGACTGCAACTCTCAGAAGGCTTCACTACTAGCTGTGCTGGTTGAGAGATGCAGAGCAAGAACACCAGGGTTGCCCAAGGCTGGGGACCTCTGCACTAGAAGAAGAAAAGAGAAAGGAAAGGGGTGGAGGAGCAGTTTGTTTCCTACCTGTCAGCTGCATGTTCTCATTATTCCCAGGGGGGAGTAGGTTCAGAGCAGAAGGTGTGCCACTGTGTTGATTGACTGACAAAGGGAAGTAGCCTTGCTGCTCCACAAGACATTCATTTTTCACTGAAGCATCACTAGATGTTGTATCAACCTTGTTGCGATTGGCTAGGAAACACGAGCTTGGGGATGCAGTAAAAGCGGCTTTGCTCGCATCTGGAGAAAAGAGAACAGGATTGGTGACCAATAAAAGTGGCCATGGTATATATTTTACACCAGAGATAGGGAAAATTGTTTTTTGAACACAACACTTAAGAGTACCTCAAATGTTAACATCTCAGAAAGACAGATAGATAAGACACATAGGAGAAGTTATTGGATACTCAGCCAAAACCAGTTGATACAGTATAGGAAAACACCTCACATTACAACTGTGATGGAGCAGCTACTTCCAGTGCAATGCAGAAACCACTAACAGAGACTCTCAGAGAAGATGCACCGAGAAGCAAAATGCAACTTAGGAACTGATGGTGACCGGTAGTCAAACATAAAGGCAGCTATTGACCTTTTAAAGGAGCTTTAAAATTATTTAGTACTTTTTCTTTGTAACATGTATTCATCTTCAATAAAATGGTGCACATTGATTGATCTGTACCAGTTTTTTACTTTCTGTAGCAGGGTTTTGTTTTTTTAACAATTTGTGACCAGTGTAGAAAGAGAACAAACTCTTCTCTATGAGCTGTTAGATTTCTCTTCAAGGAAAGAAAGAGCTGAGACCAGTAGCTTCACAATCAGAAATGGAACTGCCTTAAGAATGGAAGAGTGTATGACCTTCTGATGTTATTTTACTACTAGCTGCAAATCAGCTTGCTTTGTTTGACATCTGGTCATTAGGAGGAAACAATGGACTCTGTTTCTGTGTTGACCGTACAAACAAAGCAGCTTTGGAGAATGAATCTCTGCAGCAATAACATTATATCACCTGCCCATCTTGTCTGTTTTTGCTGTAAGAGTACCATACAATGGGTACTCACAATGGGAAATGAAGTGCAAGGAGAGGATTTTAGTGGAGGAAGATAGGCAACTGATTTGGATGCGACACAACATGATTGCTTGAAGCACTGCTGCATTCTAAGTCATAATGGTGACTGTGATGCCCTGCCTCAAGAAGAAGAAGAACCTGAGCATCATTTAGATCAGTCATAAAACCTTTTTAGAGATGATGAATCAGAGAGTGCATATTAGGCTGACCCGTTTTAATGCGATTTTACACTACACATATCTCTATAATCTAGTACAATCTTTAAAATGTTTGTGTTCAGTTCAATGACACACATGGTAGATTCAGATGAGGTTTTTATTGTGCAGGATTGCATTGCTTGTGGATATTTTATAATAAAAATAATGTATTGTCAAGTCAATTCTGACTTAATGGTGACCCTTTTCAGGGTTTTCCAAGTAGAGAGTACTCAGAGGTCGTTCACCATTCCCATCTTCTGAAGGTGCCCTGGGTCTGGGTCAGTTCCTCAAGGCCACACAGGCTGGCTTTTCTCTATGAAGCCATAAATGGGAACTGAACTCCTAACACCTGGCTCTACAACCAGATACCTTGGCCACTGAACTATCCGGTCACCTTGGATATTTTACAGATAGTCCAAATTGTTTTGTCTTCTACTGATAGCCTCTCTGTATTGTCTCACAGCATTTCCCCCCTAATGCAGCAACTCTATTAAAGAGAAAAAGATGGAGAAGCTGCAGACTGCCTTCCAAAATACAAGGACCAGGAATCCACCACATGAAAGCACCTGAAGCCGAGGATAAAAGATTACAGCTTTAATGTTTCGTGATCCCTCTCAATCAATATTCCCTGCAATTTTCAGCCTCACTAGGTGGGGCTCCACCCGTCTTGCAAGCGATTCTGCCCCTCCCCCATGCAATTCTGCCCCCACACGCATGGGGTTCTGTCACGACTGGAACCAAAGGGGCTGGAAATGCTCACTGTAGGTGCACAGAGGAGGAGAAAAGCTGCTCAGAGCAGGACAGAGTTGCCCACGCTTCTATAGTTGCGCACCTTAGAAGGAACCTTGCTCTCAATACTTTGAGATGGCAGGGCTGAGAGATTTAGATTAGTGAATCAGGATACCTGTGTATTAGGCACAAGAGAATGAGGTAATCAACACTATAAAATATAAAATTTAATTATTTTCCAAGGAATCCATTTTTCTACCTGTGCTTAACTTTTATAAAGAATGTGCAATATGAAAGCTCCAAGGCTCTAAAACTACCAATCCCAATTACCTAGATTCTTCATATATTTGTCCAATAAATTCTGAAGTTCTTGTTCTTTGTCATTGTTGAACTGGGTCTCCATGGCAAGCAAGATGTATTCATCTAAAAGCATGCGGATCAGATGAAATGAACCTTACAGGGGGAGAGAAGTGGAGAGTGTGTGTATGTCAAGCTGGCAAAGTTATCTTGGTGACCATCTCTCAACACTTTACAAGAAGCAAGTGAAACAAACAAATAATTGTTGGACTTTCAGTGACCTCCCAAGACCAACAAGGAGCAGTGCTTAACTTCTCCTTCTAATCTTGCTTTGCACTGGCCCACCTAGTTCAATATGTTTACTGTCCTGTAGGTTATTTGGCCGCTAATGACATCAAAGTACAACACTGATGAAAGTGAGATAGGCTTTAGACTTGAAGAGGGCATACACTGGAGTCAGATAAAGCTGCTAGCAGGAGTCTGAGTTTATTTATTTATTTATTTATTTTCGCAACTGGGTTTTCTCATGTATTAAGCCACCAGAAAGCAGTTGATGAAATCTTGTTAGCCTTAAGTCTATTACAAATGGAGTCAACTGCCATGAAATTGGGATTCAACACCACAAACACACACACACACACACACACACACACACACACACCATATAAACGGGCTCAAATATTGTTGGCATGACTACACCTGCAGAAGGCTGATGAGGCTGATGACAAAATTACCAGTACTGTAGTGCTGATTTGCAAAATATTAACAGTCCCATGGCCCCTAAGGGCTTCAACACACTAAAAGGAATCCCTGGGAGCCAGAAGTAGGAAGTGTTTTATCTCCAAAAATCACCCTCGCTTAGGACATCATTAGCCTTTAGTAGGCATAGTTACACCATCAGGATTTCAGCCATAGATTATAAAGGGAAAGGTACCTTTTCAAAAAAAGGTTGTCCTGAGTCTACACTAAACATCATCCACTATTCAAAAACCCAAGGAAAAAAAACTGAGTGACTCATGACAACCTGAGGTGTATACATTCAGATTATTCAAATACATTCAGATAAAATTAGCCATACCACATCTCATTTAGATATTATATAGTTTTTTATCTGTGCATTTCAGTGGAAGACATATAAAGCTATTGCCAAAATCCCAAACATTAAATAAAGGAAAGCTTTCAAAGTATCAAGAAACACATGCTTCTGTTTGAATGGTGTTAAAAAAAATGCTTAGAATCTCAAACCAAAATCTTATTTCTCCATAAAACAGAAAAAAGAAAACCCACCCATAATTATTTCAACCACATGGGCAAACATGAGAGTTTAATTTGATCTTTGGCATAGCACAGCCTAGCATTAAAATTTAATCTGAATGCCATATATCAGGTCTACAAAAGAGAATGCCATCATACCCGGCACTACTCTCATCATTAAATAACCATAATTAGCCTAGATTGCTATGGCTAGCCTCAACTAGAAAGAAGAACTATTGAATGAATTGCTGAATGGTATGTCAATGAATATGCAAACCCTTCTGAGTCAATGGCTCTACTATAACTGGGGACTAGCAAGAGGATACATTTTCCATATCTGGAGGGAATTGACTGTCGGTCACTGTTCCATTCATCCAGGCTAAGTTTAAATTCCACCTGCCACATCTTGCAAGGATTCTAGTCGTGCATGATCAAAATCATAACAGAAATAGGGAAAGGACTTGGATAAAATCAAATACCAAAACTTGAGGCGTTGTTCAAAGTGAGATTATGCATTACTCGGGCTCCAAAAAAGCTCCACTTGAGAAGGAAGTCTTGTGCCCTCTTCTTTAGTGACCGTCCATTCTGCTTGCTCGACTAAAGAAAAAAAGGAGAAAAGAGAAAAATAATGTAAGCAAAGAAGAATCCACATGTAGTGGGTGCTACAACTATATCCGTGTCCCTCCATAGCATTTATGAAGGCCACTTCACATTTCCCTCTTGAAGACTGGCCTCTCTGAGTTGATAACTCCCTTTCCCCATAAACCACTTATCATCATTAGAGGTCATGATTTTTTATGCTACACTTGAACACATTCTGTTAAAAAATTTTCATGTGCTCAAAATAGCATCTCATGCAACTAAACACATAACCATAAGTACATTATGATATCCGGTGGAAAATTATCACGTTTGCAAGAGTTTAAATTAGCTAGAAGCACAATCCAGGCAGCTTATCAGGAAGTATGTGTTTTCTTTCTGCTCAATATATCCTTAAAACGATTAGGATCTTTGGCATAAGCTTTTCGTCCTCACACTAAGGAGAGCTGAAGTAAGGGCCCAAGTACTTAAGACATCAAATGTGTCTATGTACCTTTAATGTGCGTAGTTGTCTAACTATAAGCCATGGACTGGGGGTGGAACCAAATCTCTTGGACTGGTAGCACTGCACAAGGAAGTTTTTTTCCCCCACTTTAAAAACACCACAAAACTTCATTTGTGCACCACACTTCATGGTCCACCTAAAATTTATTTTAACTGTGGGGAGGGAGGTCTATGGTTGCTGGTGGAAGTGCACACAATGCGCTTTACTATAAGGATGAGAAAATTTGGTGAGTCCTGGGCCAGTTTTGGGGCATCAGGATATTATGGGGGCCACACAGATTGCCAAAATGGAAAATAAAATAAAACAAGAGACAGCGAGAGAGAGAGAAGAAAAGAAGGAAGGAAGGAAGGAAGGAATTTCCTAGCTCGCAGAAGGTATATTAGAAAGAAAGAAAGAAAGAAAGAAAGAAAGAAAGAAAGAAAGAAAGAAAGAAAGAAAGAAAGAAAGAAAGAAAGAAAGAACAACCTCTGAGGTCTTGCTTGCTGGTCCTTTACCAGGATTGAGCTGTCAGGCAGAGTGACAGAGATGGGGCCTTTGCAAAAGCAACCCCATATCTTTGGAACACTCCTAGTTCCATCTTCATTAGTGTTTAAATGAAGCTTTAAAATGTATTTGTTTCAGAACGCACCCTGTCAAGAAGTTTAAACAGCTTTAAATTACTACTGTTTTTAACATTTTTTTCAGTGGATTGTTTTATCTGGGGGTTTTTTTTTAATAGTCTTGCAACAAATGAGACGGCCATTTTTTAAAAAGTGTTTTGTAAACTGCTCAGATAGGATTTCTGGTGAAGCTAATATGTCAGAGAGCGTCCCAACCCTGGCTCCTCTACTAGGTCTTAGCAGCAGCTTATGGTAACGCTGTAAGCTGCCACTCTCTCAAACCACAAACAAAAGGAAACCATTTGGTGTGACGGAGAGACCCTTTTAAGTGAACAGAAGGTAGAAAGCAATGGAAGGGTTACGTGTTCTGTAAATCATTACCACTTACTCAGTTAATCTTGATTCATATAGTAAATTGTTCAGCATTTTTTTCCAGACGTGGGAGGCAAACTCAACCTGTTTGCTCTAAAGCAATATTCTGTAACAGATGCTGAATGGTGGGCATTTCCCGCCTCCCCTGCTTGCTCTATTTAATAGTGATTACCTCAAGATTAATTAAGCAGAACAGAGAATACCCTTTTGCTCTGTGATACATATTTCAATCCATTCTTGAAAGTGAATATTCAAAGACCCTTTGGATAGGGAAATGATAGGCAATGTATAGATCTAATGTAAAATGGCATGCTCACAGCAAAGAACTTTTTTTCCCTCCCCCAAGGGAGCTATAGTCAGAATATTATTTTTTTAGCAACAGTTTCCACATGACATCATAAAAAGCCAAGTGTGGTTTTAAGGGATACTTACAAGCAAGGATATGGAAACTTTATCACATTATGCCACAGTTTCCCAGTATTCATGCTATGGGAAATTATAGTTCAATATAAGGTGGGCAACTTTGGCTTCCAGAACTATTTAATTGTTTTATTAAATTTATTTAAAATATTTTATTCCACCTCTTTTCTAAAAAAGGATCCAAAGCAGCTTACATTATTAAAAACACAATACTGAAAGTTTAAAACAGTAAATTATTACCAATATATAAAAGAATTAATAAAATTATATTAAATATATATGTATTTACAAAACTCAAATAAAAATTATTCAGAACCTACATAGTGTAGCAGAATTTTGAACAATGAGAAATCTCTGTAATTCTCCAAGATGCCAGTATTTTCTGGTCCCTCCAGTGATTATTTTGTAGATGTGCAGGACAACTAGGGTGATTGAGAAGGGACTTCTCCTCTCCCAGATTAGCCTGGCAACCTGATCTGCCACCATAGGAAAAGACAGGGTAGACCAAGCCTCCAGGAGAGAGCAACGTTTGGTATACCTAGCCCAGTGAAGTATAGGAGGACAGGTCTGTCCAGGTGTTGATAGACTTGGCCTCTGGACCTGACAGCTGGAAAGTCAGCTTATTAATATGTATGGCATGCTAAACTCTCTCTCTCTCTCTCTCTCTTCCATCTGTACTAAGAACTATATGACAACTGAGCAAACACATGAATAGTCTCAGTCATGACTGATGTGGATCCAAGAGGCAGCCCATAGAGAAGAAATTTGCCGTGTTGGTTGGAAAGGCTTCCCCAGGAAAAATGGCCTTGGTCATATTGGTAAGATTAACATAATCAGCCTGCAAACAGACTTCAAGACGAACAAGTCAGTTTCAACCTTCAGTTTAAGCAGGGGAGTGAAAACGTACCTTGACAACCCTTTGCTCAACCACAGTATCCAGCCATTCAATAAATGACTCCACAGTGGCATTCTTCTTTAAGAGGTCCTTCAGTTCTTGGAACACTGTAATAGAGTCATCTACCATGTAAAAAGGAAAATACATGATTGTGTTCTACTCTGAACAGGAGAGGAGGCCACTCACCAGTTATTGTTAGTTTTGTAGCATGTAAAGGAAAGAAAAAGGAAGAATTAGAGCAGTGGGAAAACAATGAAAAAGAAGTACCTTTGATAGCTTCCCCTCTGTTTATCAAGACAACAGACAGATGGTTGGAACAGTACAATTATGTGTTTCTTCAGCATCTATTCATTCCTTCACCCTCATGCTGTATGCTATTTATTTTAAGACTGAAGGACCCTTCATTCATTTTTATGGGCTTAAAAATCAGGCAATATTGGTTTTGTGCACCACAACACTGGGTAATGTTCGTTAACACTGGTTTTGACATACCAATCAAATCATGACGGGTGATCATGGAAGGGCAATCATGGAAGAGTTTGCCCACCCTCAGTCAAGCTTTTCTTCACATAACTTGCTGCATCCTAGTTACAAAACTGGGTGTGCAACCAACTGCATGAAGGCCAGAGCATGTGGGAAGGGGGGAAACTACCCTTGCCTAAGTAGGATTCTCTTTTTTTCTTTTTTCCCCTCCCAGTTTTCATATTACAGGGCTCTTCCACCCCACATATGTAGGCAAGCGCAACCAGCCCGTGTGTTTATGACTGAGACCTCAGTAATTGAGACAATGCTGTCTTAAAGGCAAATGCCCAACAGGAAGGCCAAAGTCATGTTACAAAGCTCAGGTAAATGAGTTTCAGGGACATTTTATTAGTGGAGAAGCAGGGGACAAGAAGTGGCTTAAGCACTCCTCTTCTCCCGTCTCTTGCTATAATGGCTTCATTCTCAGGCAGCTTTCCTTAAAAAATCTGGTTACATACATTTGCACAAAGCATGCTGTGAAGCTGTTAATCATCCTAGATATCAGAACTGCAGAACTGGAAGGGGCCCTATGGATCATCGAGTCCAGCCCCTGTCAAGGAAGCACAGGAGGGAATTGAACTCCCAGAACATAAACCACTGGGCTATCCAACAGTTAAGAGGGGCATACATGACACATTTAAGATGACTTTTACTGCTGATATTATGATGACCAGTGGCAACAAAGCCAACTCCTCAGTACTTCTTTTCTAATATTTTGGCTACAGTTCAGGTGGGGAATTGCTAAAAACTCAGAGAATCATACTTCTGTATTATGGATTCATAAAAAGTAGTCCTGGCCAAGGCCATAAAACACAGAGATTAACAGGAAAGATGGAGTCCAGAGAGAGAGAGAAGAAATAAAGTAATATATATCTTATTTTAAAGCTTAGTTAAGAAACTAAATATTGGTGTCCCTCATGTGACAAATTACTTTCACAGATACACATAGAATGAACTTTGATAGCCAGATATAAGGTGGCTATCCAAATGTTCAGTAGGCCAATTGTACTTTGTTGCCTTCAAATCCAAGATAAAATCTATATTGCTCAGGATGTACATATGCTTATTTTCTCTGCATTTATAACATTTATAAATGCAAAAAGCACAGGAGTTTAAATGTGATTTTTACCATTACAAGATGTGAGAAGAAACCCCTTACATGTAAGAATAGGACACAACAATATTATCCCATGTGCTGCAAACTTACATTCACTGTAGCCTTCCCCATCAGAATCCATGCTTCCAGAGCCCGTGAGCAGGGCCTGAGACCCAATGTTGTGCAGATCTACTTTATCAATATCAGCTACCATGGCATTCACTATATGCTGATCAAAAAGAGCTGGTCGAGCAATCTGTGGAACAAGCACCAGAAATAGTCTATGGAAATCATCTCTGCGGGTAGGAGAACCTATACTGCATGGTGTGCAAAGAGATGGTACTGCCATGTTCCTTTCAATTTTACAATAATTATTTTTCTAACTGGTTACATATGGGGGTTGGGGTTTTTTTGGCCCTACTTTTTAACCATCATAGAATCATAGAATAATGGAGTTGGAAGGGGCCTATAAGGCCATCAATAGTCAGAATATTATTTTTTTAGCAACAGTTTCCACATGACATCATAAAAAGCCAAGTGTGGTTTTAAGGGATACTTACAAGCAAGGATATGGAAACTTTATCACATTATGCCACAGTTTCCCAGTATTCATGCTATGGGAAATTATAGTTCAATATAAGGTGGGCAACTTTGGCTTCCAGAACTATTTAATTGTTTTATTAAATTTATTTAAAATATTTTATTCCACCTCTTTTCTAAAAAAGGATCCAAAGCAGCTTACATTATTAAAAACACAATACTGAAAGTTTAAAACAGTAAATTATTACCAATATATAAAAGAATTAATAAAATTATATTAAATATATATGTATTTACAAAACTCAAATAAAAATTATTCAGAACCTACATAGTGTAGCAGAATTTTGAACAATGAGAAATCTCTGTAATTCTCCAAGATGCCAGTATTTTCTGGTCCCTCCAGTGATTATTTTGTAGATGTGCAGGACAACTAGGGTGATTGAGAAGGGACTTCTCCTCTCCCAGATTAGCCTGGCAACCTGATCTGCCACCATAGGAAAAGTTAATTTCTTTCTGCAGCTTTGGCAGTCCTCCTGATGCCCTGTGCTGGCAAGGTGTTCACTGCCATAACTACTTCCATTATTTCCATGTCATAAACAACAAAGTTGATTTCGGGGTGCGTTCTGTGCTGCTTGCTTTTGGTGTCAGAATTGCTACTTACATATTTATATCCCTGTTTCTGTGTGCATATCAGGTCTGATCCATAACCTTCTGGTTGGGGAATTTTGAATCCTGTAATCTAAACAGGCATCTTTCTCCATCTGTACTAAGAACTATATGACAACTGAGCAAACACATGAATAGTCTCAGTCATGACTGATGTGGATCCAAGAGGCAGCCCATAGAGAAGAAATTTGCCGTGTTGGTTGGAAAGGCTTCCCCAGGAAAAATGGCCTTGGTCATATTGGTAAGATTAACATAATCAGCCTGCAAACAGACTTCAAGACGAACAAGTCAGTTTCAACCTTCAGTTTAAGCAAGGGAGTGAAAACGTACCTTGACAACCCTTTGCTCAACCACAGTATCCAGCCATTCAATAAATGACTCCACAGTGGCATTCTTCTTTAAGAGGTCCTTCAGTTCTTGGAACACTGTAATAGAGTCATCTACCATGTAAAAAGGAAAATACATGATTGTGTTCTACTCTGAACAGGAGAGGAGGCCACTCACCAGTTATTGTTAGTTTTGTAGCATGTAAAGGAAAGAAAAAGGAAGAATTAGAGCAGTGGGAAAACAATGAAAAAGAAGTACCTTTGATAGCTTCCCCTCTGTTTATCAAGACAACAGACAGATGGTTGGAACAGTACAATTATGTGTTTCTTCAGCATCTATTCATTTCTTCACCCTCATGCTGTATGCTATTTATTTTAAGACTGAAGGACCCTTCATTCATTTTTATGGGCTTAAAAATCAGGCAATATTGGTTTTGTGCACCACAACACTGGGTAATGTTCGTTAACACTGGTTTTGACATACCAATCAAAACATGACGGGTGATCATGGAAGGGCAATCATGGAAGAGTTTGCCCACCCTCAGTCAAGCTTTTCTTCACATAACTTGCTGCATCCTAGTTACAAAACTGGGTGTGCAACCAACTGCATGAAGGCCAGAGCATGTGGGAAGGGGGGAAACTACCCTTGCCTAAGTAGGATTCTCTTTTTTTCTTTTTTCCCCTCCCAGTTTTCATATTACAGGGCTCTTCCACCCCACATATGTAGGCAAGCGCAACCAGCCCGTGTGTTTATGACTGAGACCTCAGTAATTGAGACAATGCTGTCTTAAAGGCAAATGCCCAACAGGAAGGCCAAAGTCATGTTACAAAGCTCAGGTAAATGAGTTTCAGGGACATTTTATTAGTGGAGAAGCAGGGGACAAGAAGTGGCTTAAGCACTCCTCTTCTCCCGTCTCTTGCTATAATGGCTTCATTCTCAGGCAGCTTTCCTTAAAGAATCTGGTTACATACATTTGCACAAAGCATGCTGTGAAGCTGTTAATCATCCTAGATATCAGAACTGCAGAACTGGAAGGGGCCCTATGGATCATCGAGTCCAGCCCTTGTCAAGGAACTACAGGGGGGAATTGAACTCCCAGAACATAAACCACTGGGCTATCCAACAGTTAAGAGGGGCATACATGACACATTTAAGATGACTTTTACTGCTGATATTATGATGACCAGTGGCAACAAAGCCAACTCCTCAGTACTTCTTTTCTAATATTTTGGCTACAGTTCAGGTGGGGAATTGCTAAAAACTCAGAGAATCATACTTCTGTATTATGGATTCATAAAAAGTAGTCCTGGCCAAGGCCATAAAACACAGAGATTAACAGGAAAGATGGAGTCCAGAGAGAGAGAGAAGAAATAAAGTAATATATATCTTATTTTAAAGCTTAGTTAAGAAACTAAATATTGGTGTCCCTCATGTGACAAATTACTTTCACAGATACACATAGAATGAACTTTGATAGCCAGATATAAGGTGGCTATCCAAATGTTCAGTAGGCCAATTGTACTTTGTTGCCTTCAAATCCAAGATAAAATCTATATTGCTCAGGATGTACATATGCTTATTTTCTCTGCATTTATAACATTTATAAATGCAAAAAGCACAGGAGTTTAAATGTGATTTTTACCATTACAAGATGTGAGAAGAAACCCCTTACATGTAAGAATAGGACACAACAATATTATCCCATGTGCTGCAAACTTACATTCACTGTAGCCTTCCCCATCAGAATCCATGCTTCCAGAGCCCGTGAGCAGGGCCTGAGACCCAATGTTGTGCAGATCTACTTTATCAATATCAGCTACCATGGCATTCACTATATGCTGATCAAAAAGAGCTGGTCGAGCAATCTGTGGAACAAGCACCAGAAATAGTCTATGGAAATCATCTCTGCGGGTAGGAGAACCTATACTGCATGGTGTGCAAAGAGATGGTACTGCCATGTTCCTTTCAATTTTACAATAATTATTTTTCTAACTGGTTACATATGGGGGTTGGGGTTTTTTTGGCCCTACTTTTTAACCATCATAGAATCATAGAATAATGGAGTTGGAAGGGGCCTATAAGGCCATCATGTCCAACCCCCTGCTCAATGCAGGAATCCAAATCAAAATTCTTCCTTCAATAGTAGGCATGACAGCGAAATGGCATTTTTGTAGTCAAACCATAGTTGATTTTTTTCATCAAATATTAAGTTGCTGTTTCTAACTTTCCCCCCTAATGTTCCATTAATGAATTAGAAAATCATTACTATGGTTATTAAAGACCAGCAATGTTAAGCCCTTTGGCTGTATTCTATAGCAAATAAATAAATAAATAAAAAATAAAAATTAAAAAATTAAAAATAAAAAATCAGTCCAAAATCAAATTTACACCAAGCAGCATCTGTACCAGTACCAAGTACCAAAATGCTTTCAGTGTAAAGACATTATGTGAGCAGAGTGCTAAGTTCAGTGTAGCCTGATTGAAAATAGACTAGGTGCTTGTTTTAGTATATTAAGGATATTAACTTTCTAATAGAAAATATCAATTGCTTGGACTAATCCTCTGCATGTTTAATGTTTTGCATGCAATGCCAACTCTAACTTTACCTGGGCTAAGTGCAAAAAGGAAGTCTGTCGCTTCAGAGAAGATACAAATCTTCGTGCTATTGGCAATTTCTTTGTCGCAAGATCTTCCGGGAGATTTTCTAGTGATGAAATGATCCAGTGTTCCCAGTTTTTAGCAAAATTTCTTATATCAGCCAACAAGCTGTAATGAAAAGATAAAGAACAGCCAAACCACTGGTATATATACATTGTTAGAGAAGGACAGATCTATCAATTGTGCTTTCTGCAACATTTAAGTGTTTTTAATCTTCAATTATTTCCATACTGTTTATGAAAAGTTCTCAAATACTTATCAAAAGCAAACAGAACATAATTCTTAATCATCTGCACTAACAAAATTCTCTCCCGACATGTCTTGTACCTGCTTGCAATGTAGTCTGCCCACCCCTCCGCAATAAGGTGGCAGCTGTAATTTAGTGCCATAAACACGGTTGACCATGTAAGGTTTCTGACTGAGGCTTTCAAGACCTCAACAATCAAAACCTTTAAACTAGGTGAGCAAATCTGGAAGTTTTACATTCTCCATTCTTCAAGTTCTTTTTTTAAAGGAATCTACACATTCTGAAAAAATGAACTAAACAAAATTCCGCAGATGAGAAAAGTTACTCTTTTTTTTTTAAGACTACAGCGCCCAGAATACTACTAAACCATTCAAATAAAGCCCATGCTGGCTGAAATACTGTGAGAGCTGTGGTCCAAAAATAATTTTTTCTTGTCTTTTGTGAAAGTCCCATCTGCCTCTACTTTTTATGTCTGGTGAAACAAAGAACTTAGAAGGCTTAGGTCCTACACTTAACAATCAACATGACCCAGATTCTTGTTGCTTCAATGTATCTGATAAAACAGATGACCAGAACCCAAGATCTACATCTATAAGGTTAGGAACAAAGGCTCCCACAAATTGAAATGATACAACAGGTTGTATTATGAATTTTAACACAACAACATAGTAGAATAGTACTACCAGGAGCCAGGGCTTTTCTACCAGTACGAATGGCCCCTGACAGATCTGACACAATGTCACATGCAACAGATTCTGGTTGACTACCATTCTATCCAATCTAGACTTTTTAGCTCCCAGAGTATTCAGTAGGATATGTGTAAGGGACTGTGTAAGTGTCCCTTGATTGGCTTCAGAACCTGATTTGTTTTGGACCTATTTAGACATGAGCTAATACTGTATTGGTTTGATCTAAATCTGAATAAAAATTCAGAAATCCGAATGGTGAACATTCTGCACATAGTGCCCTTTTTGTACTTGATGTGATTTGATTACTCTTGCTAATATAAAAGGAATATAAATAATAAATTGTAAATAAACACAAGCAGAAATAAAGGTTTTATGGATCAATGGTTTTAATAGTATTTATGACCACAGATCATGAATACCATTTAGCACTTCAAAACATTTGAAGCCAATCAATAACATCCACAGCTTCAAATAGTGATGTAACTGTCTGATATAGAATATATTTTCATTACATTTGAGGTGGTGACAGGGCAGTGAAAGCTCTCTCCCTTCCTGAAGCTGCCTCCACTGCATGGACGCCACTCCTCCCACGCAGCATATTTCATGCAAAGGAAGAGAAGGCAAGAGACAATGACATCCCGTGACTGCTTCAGAGCTGGCTGCTTGAATAATGCCTCACTCTGAGGGAAGCTGAGTGTTGCCCTTGGCCATCCTTTTCACAATACCTTGGCCCCAGGGACTCCCTTGGACTTACTTTATTTAGCCATCTTGCAGTAGAGCCATACATCATAAAACAGGAAACTGTTACCTAGCAAAGTGCTTAATTTGCTGTTGCAATTAGTTATATTTTTTTCCAGCATTTCTAAATGTTTTTCCCACCTGTTAATTATCACAACATTCTTTCTGTTTCAAAGAACAACATTGTATACAGATAATTTCCTACCTTTCTGGCATTTCTTGCATTGTTGAAGGGATGAGTACATCTGTAAGGACCTTTAATAAACAGCAGGAAAAAAAGATTTTCTATATGACGATATATTCAGCTAATCCAATGCAAAATGATTTCATTTCCTTCTAATTCTTGGCAATTTTCCAAGCCTAACTATGCCACGATGGCTCCTTGCTGAGATTCCCCCCACACACACACACACACTAATAAGACTGGCCAATGTCTCACAAACAAGAGACTCCTGGTCTCATTTTCCTCATTTTCCTCCTTCCATTTCCCCTATTTTGTGTTCAAGAGACTGCCAAATTCTCCACATCATTAAGAGGAAATCTTGGGTATGTGAGATGCCATTTTATTCAGGACATGTAATAATTGTGCACAGATTGGTGTTTCTTCTAAAAACAGAATAAACCAAAACCACACACCACAAAATTTGAGAAATGTGATGAGATTTCCTGTGAGATTTCTTTCTTTTTTAATAAAAACAACTTGCCCACAAGGAAGGAAAACGTGATTGCGGCCGCCACCAATACCCCAGTTTCTTGCCAAGAATAACAGGCTGTGAGATTCATGTTTATTCATGTTGATACAGCATTTACTCTTAATGTTTCCTTTAAAATTTAGAACGTAATAACTAAAATCTTGTTGCATAGGTTCTTCCTCATAAGACTGAAGATGTTTGTCAGCCATGGTAATTTTTTTTTAAAAAAATAAAACATTTCTGATTTCTCAACATCTCAGTGCTTCTGTGGAATCCTCTTCATATTTATTATTTCTGAAAACCCATGGCAACTGATGATGTCATCATCTTTAGGTGGCAAAGCATACAGCAACAGGGTTTCCACCAAGGTTTAATTTAATCTTTAATTAAACAAAAATGTTACTCACTTCAGCTTATCAACAAACGAAATTATATTTTAGGTCCTTTAACTAAAATCTTAGCTAACTAGGCCTTTTACATTAACTTTCCAAGCTCTGTGAAGTAGAGAGAGCTCTGTAAACCCCACATGTAGAAATGGTTCAACCCAAAGATGATTCCCCTTTGCCGCATTTCAGAAGTAGACTTGTGGGGAGGTTGCCGACTTCCACTGTTTTTAGTTAACATACAACAAACCTTGTATAGTATTGAGTCACAGACACAGAAAATGTCAATGGTAACAGGGTTTTCAAGCAGGGGAAGAAGGTGGTCAGGCATTCCTTGCCAAAAATGTAACAGGAAATGTTGGATCTAGGGGAGAACAAGGAGAGTGGAGTTGTCAATGAGTTGTTGGACACGACTTCATACAAAGAACAGGTGAGACACATGTTTCATGCATTCTTACCTCCTCAAAATTCCCATTAATGGCATTGTCGAGGACACACTGACAATGTGTTTTGTACATCATGATAAGGGTATCCACCTGTTTTAGCAATACAAAACTTAAATAGAATTAAACAAATTCTTTATATCTCCTACAGGAACCCTTTAAACATCATCGTGTGCTTTTGTGTTAATTTTCCAGGACAGTCCATAAACCACTAAAATATTAATCTAATATTTTAAAAATCATATGGCATGGAATCATATATTGCCAAATGACGTGCTATTTGGGCCAGGACTTTGTTAAAAATTCTGTACATGCTTGGAGCTCCAGCTCCAGAAGCTGCCACAATGATCCAATGAACTGCTGGCCACACACAGTCATGTGTCTGATCATATGAACCCACTGTGCAACGGGAGTGTCATAAGAGTGCTATAGCAACTTACACAGTTGAAGCACTGCACATGGAAATACTGAACAGGATACCAACCTTGGTTTCTTTTTTTTATTAATATTTGCCATTAATATGAGGGTTTTAATCTTCTTCCCAAACTGTACTTATTTATCCATCCAGGAATTGTATTTTATTTGTCTTGGCTGAACAGCTCAGTGAATTAGATATGTGGCTGCAGAGTCCACAGGCTGGAAGTTCAATTCCCCATTGTGTCTCCCAGAAGAAGAGCCAGCCTTTGTAGCTGCATTAGTCCCAGGGAACCCCCAGAATAAGGGAATGATAAATCACTTTTGAGTACTGTGTACCTAGAAAACCCTGGAAAGGGACACCATAAATCAAAATTGATTTGATGGCATTGAATTCTTATTTTCTGCCCTTGATAAGTCACTCTTGTTGTTTGACATCTTCCTTAGAATCTCTGCGTATGACATTTCTAAGTGTGTAATTCTCTCTCTCTCTCTCTCTGTGTCCATTTGTGTGTGTGTGTGTGTGCGTGCGCGCTGTCTTCCTTAGAATCTCTGTGTATGACATTTCTAAGTGTGTAATTCTCAATCTCTCTCTCTCTCTCTGTCCATATGTGTGTGTGTGTGCGCGCGCGCGCGCGCGCGCATGTGCATGTGTGCGTGCGCACACACACAGCCAAATCTCAGGGTAGATTGTGCGCGTGTGCACACACACAGCCAAATCTCAGGGTAGATGATGCTGAATGAGGAGAACATTTGGTCTTTTTTAAATTATTTATTATTCTGTATGAGTTGACCCTGATGTTGGGAAAGTGTGAAGGCAAGAGGAGAAGGGGACGACAGAGGATGAGATGGTTGGACAGTGTCATCGAAGCGACCAACATGAATTTGACACAACTCTGGGAGGCAGTGGAAGATAGGAAGGCCTGGCATGCTCTGGTCCATGGGGTCACGAAGAGTCGGACACGACTAAATGACTAAATAACAACAACATGAGTTGACTTTAAAGCACTCTTCTCCACCCATTGCCCTCTGGTGCCAGGACCTGCTGGCAGCGGCATCATTCTCTGTGTTAGAATGCCTGGAGTGGGGGTAAGGATTTGGAGAGCATACATCCTTGGTCCATACTGTCACTTGAAGCAAGGTGAGGAGTGGAGCAGCAGCAGCATGAATATCTAGAGCCTTCTTGTTGAAGAAGCTTGGAAGTAAAGGCACAAGATCTGGGGAGTGGATTCTTCCTCTGGGCTGGTAATTAGCCTTCCACTATCCCAAGCAGTGACCTAGAACCTGGAAAAACTCCCCACAGGTCATGTGTCCTAAAGGTAAGGCAGAATGTGAGCCCTAGTGGGAAGGGCAGTGACACACTGGAGCTTCTGGGTATATTTTTGCTAATCCCAAGTAAACTCATTGAGTCAAATGAAAAATAATTACATAAACAATGTAGCAAATAAATAAGAACTTTGCTTAACTCAGCTCTTGGAATTTGACAGAGCTGCATTTGAATGTTAAAATGATGGGGAGCAGGGACTGAGGAGAGAAATGAAATTTTCTAAATTTGTTTTCCAAATTTGATATTCAACATATTAGCATTAAAAGGCAAAAGTTAGGAAGATTTAGCAGCAATTCTGCACATATTTCCTGGGAGTACATCCCATAGTATTCAATGGAACTTACTTCTGAGCAAGCATGGTAGATTTGCATTGTTCTTGTTTAACATAGATACTGAAGAGATAGACACTTTAATATTTCACAGATGTTAAAAAAGAAAAAAATGTTATCAGGAGTTTTAAAGGTCTGAGAGAGAGAGAGAGAGATATGGATAGGTATCATTTGACTAACTTTAGGTTAAGTATAAATAAATAATTTTCAATAGTTACAGATAATTTTAGATAATAATAATAAAATTAAATATTTTAGATTTTTTTACCAATCTTCTGTAAGTGTTCAGAAATCCTTTCTGTCAATTAAGCCAGCAATGGTATCTAATGACCCCACAATTACACACACACATTTTAAAATAATCAGTAAATGTAAGAGTACTACTTTCTTTTCATTGACAAGAAATGTCAGGAGGAAAAATCCACTTCATAATTTGCCCCAATAATTTGCCCCTATCTTATCAGTACTAAATTAATCAACTGGCATTAGGAATGGATAGGATTCCTAACTATTTCTTTGTTTTGTTCTCCCCAAGGCAAATACTATGTTTGTGAAATATTAGCCCAGTTAATATGTAAATAATTCAACCACCTTCCCAATGGAAAGCCAGTTAACTGATGATAGTAGAGGTTTGCTACCTCTATAAATCAGTCAAGTCTGTTTGATTATAGACATTCTCATTGTTTTATGTCACTACTGTGAAAGCTTTGAGGACAGAGGTGGAATCAAAAGAGCAGCCAGGGAAGTCAGTTCAGTACACAAACACTTTGCAATTTTACCTTGTCTTTAGAGAGAGACCTATCCAGCACAAGATGCTGAGCACTCGGGAATTCTGGGAGGAGAGTCCCAGTTTTGGAGCTTAAGGAATATTTCCGAGTGAATCCACCCTATAACATGAAAGAACGTTGTTAGTGAATGTGGTTTACCAGGCATAATTTTAGCATTGTTGACAGAAGCCGCATTAACATCTATGCTCAGTGACTTGAATAATTGCACAATGTTGTGTTCACACATCATCCGCATTAGGAAATATGCTCTGTATTTAGTATCACTCACAGTTTGTTGGGGGTGCTTCCCAGGATAATCAGATCTGCATAGTT